TGATGACCGCAAAAACGCATGTGTTCAACATAGAGACGATGTTGGACACCTCATGAAATTCAATGAAGAACATCAAAATGGTATACAATACCGACAGGTTGTTAGGTAAGACACATATGCAACAGTTAGACAACTTTATTCCGAAACGTATCGCCTACACAGTAGGCTTCTTCAGTCGAATACAGAAAATAGGCAGGAACAGTAGAGATGTGAAGACGATGTAATCAGTCCATCACCCTTGTAGTCGTAGAATTTGAGGTTGTCAGTCCCTCGGCCTGGAGAAGTTCAGTTCCATAGTCAGGAACTATCTGAAGATCTACGACTACAAGGGTGATGGACTGGGTTACATCGTTTCACATCTCTACTGTTCCTGCCTATTTTCTGTATTCGACTGAAGAAGCCTACTGTGTAGGCGAAACGTTTCGGAATAAAGTTGTCTAACTGTTGCATATGTGTCTTACCTAACAAATTCAATGAAGCTAAACTAGTTATTAAAGAAGACGACTTAAGACGGAGAAATTGCATTGAAGCTGCACTAATTTCTGTCAGTAACACTATAAAGCAAAAATCCGGTAGTTACAGTATTTCAAAATTACTAAGCAAGAGGATATTACCCATCCTGGGAACTGGTGTTACTTGATGCCAGCAGGTCCCTCTCTAGCCTCACCTCCTTAGTTCCATTACTACTACTACTACTACTACTACTACTACTACTAACTACCACCTCTACCCACGCATCACCTCACCTGACTCCCGCCACTATATATATATGTGTTTTCTTAGTTTTCTCTGTATTAGGACTGAAGAAGCCACTCGTGGGCGAAACGTTTTCCTTTAATAAATGTCCTGAACTGTACATAAGTGTCTTTTTCCACATCTTGTCGGTATCACCATACCATTTCCTCAAGTACAGAAAAGTTGATAGAAGCAGAAGATACTTGAAGACGATGTAATCAGTCCATCACCCTTAAAGTTTTGAGGTGGTCAGTCCCTCAGTCTGGAGAAGAGCATTGTTCCATAGTATGAAACAATATGGAGATGAAGTGACAGAATGGAGCTTTTTATAGCGCCAAGAGGTGAGACGTAGGCCACTAGGAGAGGTAAGAACTCAGATGTTGAAAGGTCAGGTCCCTCTCAAATCCAGCCGCTCTCACTAGTGGAAGTTGTCGAAGTTGAGAGAGACCTGACCTTTCAACATCTGAGTTCTTACCTCTCCTAGTGGCCTACGTCTCACCTCTTGGCGCTATAAAAAGCTCCATTCTGTCACTTCATCTCCATATTGTTTCATACTATGGAACAATGCTCTTCTCCAGACTGAGGGACTGACCACCTCAAAACTTTAAGGGTGATGGACTGATTACATCGTCTTCAAGTATCTTCTGCTTCTATCAACTTTTCTGTACTTGACTGAAGAAGCCTACTGTGTAGGCGAAACGTTTCATAATAAAGATACCTAACTGTTGCATATGTGTATTACCTAACAACCTGTCGGTATTTTATACCATTTTAATGTTCGACCATATGCCTGATCACATAATTTACATTTAGTTTGATCATCATCTGTGTGTCTCCCAATCTGCCAGAAGTACTTGTAACCAAGCCTAAGCCTGGCCACTACAACATCAGTCAGTCTGTTCCCATTGAAGTTCCCCCATAAACATACTTATCTACGTTCATGTTATCATAGTGGGTTATAGATCTACTCAGGCTTCTAACTGCATTCCTATAACAATCATTTTCATTTTTTTACTTCTCCCCTAATTTATTCCTAATGCTGACACAGTTATACCAAAGTTATATTCTACATTCTCCTTCTGGGTACTCTTCTTGGCTAACATATCAACTTTATCATGAAGGAGTAATCCAATGTGTGATGGGATCCATAGCAATTGTACTTAAGGAAGGAACACGGCAACTGACCTATTTAGCACAAGCTAGTCAGGTCCAACTCACACCCCCCCACCCCACTCATGTATTTATCTAACTATTTTTAAAACTACACAACGTTTTAGCCTCAAAAACTGTACTCGGGATTTTGTTTCCACTCATCCACAACTCTATTACCAAACCAGTGCTTTCCTATATCCTTCCTGAATCTGAATTTTTCCAACTTAAAACCATTGCTGCGAGTCCTGTCTAGGCTAGTTTATTTTCAGCACGTTATTTACATCCCCTTTATTTATTCCTGTTCTCCATTTATACACCTCGATCATATCCCCCCTAATTCTACGCCTAGAGAGTGCAGATTCAGGTCCTCAGTCTATCCTCATAGGGAAGATTTCTGATACATGGTATCAACTTTGTCATCCTCCTTTGTACGTTTTCCAGAGCATTTATATCCATTCTGTAATACGGTGACCAGAACTGAGCAGCATAGTCTAAATGAGGCCTAACCAAGGATATATAGATTTGAAGAACAACCTGAGGACTTCTATTATTTATACTTCTAGATATGAAGCCAAATATTCTGTTAGCTTTATTGCGAACACTAATGCACTGTTGTCCGCTAACCAGAACTCCTAAATCTTTCTCGACATTATTTAGTTTATATGTGGCATGGTTATTTTTATGTCCAACATTTAGAACTTTGCATTTGTCTATATTAAACTGCATCTGCCACTTCTCCGACCACTGCATAGCTATTCAAATCTTCCTGGAGTGCTCTAATTTTCCTCGTCAGAATGAATTCGACGGGCCTTTTTGGTGTCTCGCAACTTCGATTCGCTCTTTTATCCCATCATCTATGCGTTTATGTAGTTTTGTGAACAGCAGGGCCCAACACTGACCCCTGCGGAAACACCGCTCGTGACGTTCCCCACTCTGTTTTCTCCCATTTATGCAAACTCTCTGCTGTCTATTTGTCAACCATGCCTCTATCCAGGAAAAAATTTCTCCTATTCCATGTCCCTTTAATTTTCCTCAATAGTCTCTGATGTGGGACCCTGTCAAAAGCCTTACTGAAGTCCATGTACACAATATCATATTCATTACCATGATCTACCTACTCAAATACCTTAGTGAAAAAAAGTTAACAAATTCGTAAGGCAGGAACGCCCCTTTGTAAAACCATGCTGAGATTCGTTAAATTAATTTATGCTTTTCAAGGTGGCTACGAACTGCCTCGGCAATTATTGATTCCATAAATTTTCCCACTATGGAGGTCTTCTTTAATAACTAGTTTAGCTTCATTGAATTTCATGAGGTGTCCAACATCGTCTCTATGTTGAACACATGCGTTTTTGCGGTCATCATTTCTGCAAGCATTTTTGTGTTTGCTTGCAGAAATGATGACCGAAAAAAACGCATGTGTTCAACATAGGGGACGATGTTGGACACCTCATGAAATTCAATGAAGCTAAACTAGTTATTAAAGAAGGACTTAAGACGGAGAAAATGCATTGAAGCTGCACTAATTTCGTCAGTAACACTATAAAGCAAAAATTTCCGGTAGTTCCCAGTATTTCAAAATTACTAAGCAAGAGGATATTACCCATCCGGGGAAAAACTGGTGTTACTGATGCCAGCAGGTCCCTCTCTTCCCTTTCACTCCTTATTTCCCAAATTACTACTATACTACTACATACTACTACTACTACTACTACTACTACTACTCTACTACTACTACCACTACCACCTTCCCCACGCGTCACCTCACCTGACTCCCGCCAAATATATATATGTGGGGTTTTCTTAGTTTTCTCTGTATTAGGACTGAAGAAGCCCCTCGTGGCGAAACGTTTCCTTTAATAAATGTCCTGAACTGTACATAAGTGTCTTTTTCCACATCTTGTCGGTATCACCATACCATTTCCTCAATCTCCTTGTGATTGAAATCACCCATAACTAGTAACTTTGCTCCCCCCATGTGTGCTCTCCTGGCCACCTCGGCTAGTGTGTCGATCATTGCTCTGTTGCTCTCATCGTATTCTTCTCTTGGCCTCCTGCAGTTCTGTGGTGGGTTGTACATTACTGCAATTATCACCTTATGTCCCTCAGACTGGATTGTTCCTACTAAGTAGTCCCTTTCGCCCGTGCCATCCATTCCTTCCATTTTCTCAAAACTCCACTGGTTTTTAATGAGCAGTGCAACTCCTCCTCCCCCTCTCCTCCCTCTGTCTTTTCCCGAGGATTTGATATCCGGATGGAAAGATTGAATCTGTTATTATTCTGGTGAGTTTTGTTTGTGAGTGCTATTATGTCTGGGGATGTCTCTTTTATTCTTTCGTGCCACTCCTCATACTTGTTTGTTATTCCATCTGCATTTGTATACCACACTTCAACTTTTTCTAAGACTGTGGTTGGGAGGTATAAATTGGGGTTGGGAAGTGGGAGACCTGGTAAGGAACTATGGGTTGTTGCTGTGGGGGTGGAGTTTGTAATGTAGTGGGTGGGGGCATTGGATGTGGCTGGGTGTTTTGATTTAGAGTGTTTGGTTGCATGGGGTTGACCCGGTTTGGGGGGCTTTTATGGAAGTTGTGAGGGGGGGCTGTATTTTGATCTTCTTCGTGTGTGTGTGTGTGTGTGTGTGTGTGGTGTGTGTGTGGTGGTGTGTGTGTGTGTTTTGTGTGTATGTGTGTGTGTGTGGTGTGTTTTGTGTGTGTATGTGCGTGTGTGTGTGTTGGGGAGGGGGGAGGAAGCTAAGCTTGTACAGGTGTTTAGGTCAGTTTAGATGTAGCCACAAGTGTTCACCTCAATAGTCACAAATGTGAATATTTGCATCCACTCACTGCCGTGAACACTATTTTAAATCTTTATGAACTTCGCCATTTTCTCTGATGTAATTGGGTTATGGTGCTGTGTGAGGGTGAATGTTTAGGGGGAATGGTTTGGGGTGGATGTGTAGGTGTTAGTGACTAGGGGTGGACATGTGTTTAATGTATAATAGAAAAGGCTGAGGGAGGGGGAAATAAAGATGTGACAGGTGTGAAAGACTCACAACACAGGTGTGACACCAGCCACAGATGCCTCTGCTTGGTGTAATTCTTCAGTCAGTACTTCGACACTGCTCAGAACCAACACCTCAGACGGTGAGCATCACCGGTGGCCTGGTGGCTAAAGCTCCCCCTTCACACACGGAGGGCCCGGGTTCGATTCCCGGCGGGTGGAAACATTTCGACACGTTTCCTTACACTATTGTCTGTTCACCTAGCAGCAAATAGGTACCCGGGTGTTAGTCGATGGGTGTGGGTCGCTTCTGGGGGACAAGATTAAGGACCCCAATGGAAATAAGTTAGACAGTCTCGATACGCACTGACTTTCCCTTTGGGTTATCCTGGGTGGTTAACCCTCGGGGTTAAAATCCGAACGAAATCTTCTCTTGTTCTCACCTGCTGCTCCACCTCGACGTGCCAGGATCAACACCTCAGCGGTGAACTTTTCCAGTTTGAAAGTTAAGTCACGTGTGCAACATCTGGGCATCTTTATTGTAGACGTTTCGCCCTCCAGTGGCTTTATCAATACAGATTCTAGGACATAATTTGAAGGACAGTAGAACTATATACAAAGATGACGTAATTAGTCCCTCAGCTTTGGAGTTGGTGTTGAAAGCACCGTAGTCGTGAAGATTCTGGAGCAAAGAACGAACAGAACAGAAGGGGCTCACAGGTAAGGATCTACTATGGGGGAGGGGTAAGTGGGGACAGGGGGAAGAATAGGTGGGGGAGAAGAAATATCGAAGAAAAGAGGAAAAGTGTCAGGACTAGACCCAACTGCTAACAAGGGAAACAAGTGCAGCAGTGTCACTTCGGAAGCATATCTTTAGCCAAGATGGCCGCGCAACAAGGCGTTTTGGGACTATGGAAAAGTGGCGCAAACGACAATTCGCAAGCCATTCAGCATAAAAACGCACGAGAAA